AACTGATAAAATAATGGAAAATGTTACGTTTTTAAAGTTACACATTTAAGTAATAAAATTTAAATTTATAATTTCAATGTAAATCTGTAACATTGGCAATGTTCTAATTTTTTATCAGAATTAATGTTCTAATTTGTTATTCATTCTAGATAAAATTAAGGCTACCACCCTTAATTTGGTGATTATTGAATATTGTAGGAAGCTGAGGTGGACTATAGGATATAGCTGCCAAGAATGCTATAAACAAAGACACAGGGACATGGAAGGATAGAATGTTTAGATAATGTTGATAGAAAATATTAATATCTTGAAATCAGCAAGCATTTACTGTAAGGGTAGTATAGTGTAATAAAACTGATTCAAACAGATAGGAAAATTAATCCCAACACTGATACTTATTGGTGCATTTGATATAAAATGCACCAATTAGTGCTTAAGACTTTAGCTTTTTAAAAAATACACTAAGCCCTAACACTGTTAAGAATATAGAAGTAGGGCTTTCTTAGTGGTACACGGGGTTAAGTCTAAGCACTGAAGCTATCGGCAGCCACTGTGGTATAAGTTCGAATCCTGGCCAGGGAACTAACCCACATGGCACAGCAGACATCTCCTGTCTTGCCTGCTACTCCCCTCAGCAGTGTATTTAAGTAGATCTGCCAGTTCTGCTTCCTACTCTGTCTTCAGTGAATCCTTTCACCTCGCCCCCCCATGACCCTCCCACCTGTGGCCTACATCCCAGCTCTTGTATGTATAAGTGAATAAAATAAATCTTTTTTAAAAAAGAATACGCAAGTATAAAAATGGTCCTGTAAATAATCAAAAAATTTAGAAAATGATACATGGCCATATATATAACATACTGAAATGGGAAGTAAAGACTCAAGTCAAAAAAAAAAAAAAAACAACTGTTTCACTTTCAGAACATGAAAACAAGACAGCAGGTAGAATTTATTTATTTATTTATTTATTTTAAGATTTATTTTACTCGTAGAAGAACTGGGATATAGGCCAGAGGTGCTGTAGTGGAGGGGTAAGAGGATTCATCAGAGGCAGAGTAGGGAGCAGAACAGCTGGTTCTACTGAAATACTCTGCTAAGGGGAGCAGTGGGCCAGACAGGAAAGGTCAGCAGGTAGAATTTATTACTAGAGGATGAATACGTTGCTCATGAGAATATTCCTACAGAACTGCAATTTCTAAACAGGTTTTCTGTCATCAGACTCTTTGTCTCATTCATACTTTAGCCTTTTTTATTTTTCCCTTTCTGAAATAAACAATTTATTTTTCCCTTTCTGAGCTGAGCAGCTTTAAATGTTTGTTTCGTTTCTTCCTTTTTGAACTAAGAGTAAAAAACCTGCTTATGTTTGTGTGGAGTCATACTTCTAAGTCACTTTATTTTCTTTGTTACTTGTTCAGACTAATACAATTGAATGATATGTGACAAATACTCATCTTTGCTGTATTATACTTTCACATTCTTTTTCAGTCAAAAAATAAAAGTGTATGTTAATTAGAGATTCCTGTATGGTAATATCATAAGGATCCTCTATGGTGGTATTGTAAGAATCACCGAGAAAGTGTTAAATGAGCAAGCAGGGTGTTTGACCCAAAGATTGAAATGGTTTCTTTTCCTAATAATTAACTTTCTAATTGTTGGTTCTCTGAAATATTATCAGGAAAGACCTTTCTGATATCTAGCTTCTATAAGATAAATTAAGTGACTATTTCTTTAATGACTGTTTATAAACATTGTTAGTTATTTCTAGCCTGTAGCTTTAATTCTAGTGTTTTTCTGAAACATGGTAAAAGTCTGACATAATTTACATGCTAAGAAAAACTAGGCATCTATGTCTAGATAATATTTTTCATTTAGCTTGCCATAACAGAGACCATGTTTTCTAGTTCTTAGGCGGAGTGCCTTGCACAAACATTGGCCTAATACTGATTTTTTAATTGTTGATATGCTTATTGTTATATTAATCTGTTCTTGATTTTTAAATAAAATTAAGAATGTCTGCAAAGAAATGCTACTTAGTATGCATGAAGATGAATCCCCTAGAAATGCAGCTGTAAGATAAGTTGTTAGAGAACACTATGCTCTTACACCTTCCACAGTCTTGCCTAAGATCTTTACACTCATCCCTTAGATCTTTACCTGTCCTATTACCATTTGGTCTCAGGTTAGTCTATTTCTTCTTCCAGGCCCAGATTGCATATCCCCTCTGCACCCCCCTTTGAAGGCTTTTCTGTTCCCCCCTCTCCCTGCAGAATGAATTCTTTCCTCTTTACTTTCATTCACTAATTCACTCAGTTAATCTTGTAGTTGCTTTCAGGAAACAAGAGAACTGCCTCTGTTGTTCCTTTTTTAATGTCTTTGTAACCTTATTATCAAATTATTTATTTACTTGTTTGATGTCTGTCTTCCCCATTAAAATGGCTCTTCCTAAGAGCCAAAACCTAATCTGTTTTTTGGTCACTGAAATTCATATGCTTAGAATAGTGCCTAGCACATACGTAAGTGCTTAGCAAATATTTAATGAAGGAATGAATGGAATGGAATATACTGCTTATTAAGGGAAAATTGATGTGTGTGGTCCTAATTTTCAAGGTGCTAGGTGAAGAATTTTAATTTAATTTTAATTTTTTAAGGTGCTAGGTGACTGTACCCAGTGCTTGTATAAATAAATAAATAAATCTTAAAAAAAAAAAGATACTTAAAATAATAAAAATTAGGGCCTCCCTGGTGGCGCAGGGGTTAAGACACAACCTATGAAGCTATCCGCAGCCACTGCAGCACGATTTCGATCCCCCGCCAGGGAGCAACCCACATGGCACAGCAGACCTCTCCTTACTTGCCCGCTGCTCCCCTCAGTAGTTGCTCATCCTTTATAGATGATGCTTGCCTGGATCTGTGCCCTTTCTCTCTTTTTAGTTGCTTTATCTGGGAAATGCTTTATTTAACCATTGGAGATAGACGTGAAATTCTAACCTATACTACTATAGGAGGTCTATAGCTTAGAATTGTCAGAAATCTATCGAGAATATCAGAATATTCTTGTAAAAATGAGATTGTAAGGTTATCCAACCGTCCTTTCCTCAGTTATACAGTACTGCAAGTTTATGGACTTAGGCTATAACTTTGGAGGTCCTGTTCTCTGCTCTACCCATCGGGCCAGGGCTTGGCTACAGCCCAGTCACAAAATGACCCTAAGGCATTGTAAAAACTATTGAAGCTGTTCTCACTAGTGCCTGAACTTTACCTTCAGTTGAGATGTAACCAGAAATTTTATAAATAAAATTCTCGAGAGCCTTTCTGCTAAAAGTGCTAGGTGATTATCAATTGAAAATGTTAGGTTACTGAAAGAAACAGATAATAAAATTCAGAAAAATAGAGCAGCAGAAGATACTTTAAGAAATGAGAGGAAAAAAAGCAAAATGAACATTATATTTTGTAAGCTAGAAATGAGTCATGACTAATGAATATGAAATTAGCGCTAGAGTTTCTAGAGAACTACATGATAAGCATCTTGAATTATCACCTCTAATATTTAATTAAAATTATGCAAAAGTGTCCCATGACAATGTTTTTCCTTCTTTATTATTGAATGGACAGTGCTACCTTTCCTTTAAAAAAAAGATACTTAAAATAGGGCCTCCCCGGTGGCGCAGTGGTTGAGCGCTGGGCTGTGAAGCTGCCCACAGCCTCTGTAGCGCCAGTTTGATCCCTGGCCAAGGGGCAAGGGTCCCACATGTCATGCAGACCTCTCTTGTCGCCCGCTGCTCCCCTCAGCAGTGTCCTCTCTCTGTCTGCCTGTTCTGCTCCCCGGTCTGACTCTAGTGAATTTTCTCACCCTCCCACACTTCTGACTGTACCCAGTGCTTGTATAAATAAATAAATCTTTAAAAAAAAATACTTAAAATAATAAAAATTAGGGCCTCCCTGGTGGCACAGGGGTTAAGACACAACCTATGAAGCTATCCGCAGCCACTGCAGCACGAGTTCGATCCCCGGCCAGGGAGCAACCCACATGGCGCGGCAGACCGCTCCTTACTTGCCCGCTGCTCCCCTCAGCAGTGTATTTCAGTCAATCTGCCTGTTCTGTTCCCCACTCTGTCTCTGGTGAATGCTCTCACCCACCCACCCCCCACACCTCTGACCTACACCCCAGTTCTTATATGCATATATAAATAAATCTTTAAAAAATAATAATAATAAAAACTGTTGTGTTGAGTGTATTTAGCTACATTTTATGATTTGTGAAAGATACCTCTATAGTATGAATAGGATATGTTCTGGAAGTTAGCATATAAATCAATTGCTAGAACATATGCTAAAGAAACAACTTAAATGATAGTTTCCCAGAGCATGCCATGAAAGCCTGTCTACCTTTTGTGATTAAAGTGCCAATAATAAAAAGCCACAGTGAATACAAACAGCCCTTTTAAAAATAAAATAGGAAGGGAAGAAAATAAATGAATAAAATAAAAATAATGATTACCAGGCACTAAACAAAATGATTTACATATATAAATCACACTTAATTCTCAAAGTACTGTAAGATATGCATTGTCTCTCTTTTTTGACAGGATAGCGAAGGAATAAATACTCAAAAGCTTGTTCAGGTCACAGAGCCTTGTAGCTCAGATTTGAATTATGATCCAATTGACTCGGTGCTCTTATTTCCTTACCACTATCTTATCGTACCTTTACGTGTAAGAAATACTTATATTTTGTGTACCAGGCAGTATGGTAGATTTTCTGCAGAATTCCCACTACACATTTTTGCAGAACTAAGGATACATGTTAACTATGTTAGCTGTAAGATACAGTCGTCGTGAGTGCCACAGTAAAGTTACAGATAAATTACCATATGGGCATTTACATGCTCTGGTTTACAGACAAGTATTTGTATCTGTGGAATTGTTTGGATTTGAGTTTATAATAGAGGTTCCTAAAATGTGTTTGAGGTATATTTATCTATATATGTATAATCAATAACAGTTCACTGAAGAAAAGCTTGGCCAGGCTGAGAAGACAGAATTGGATGCTCACTTAGAGAACCTCCTTAGCAAAGCTGAGTGTACCAAAGTATGGACAGAAAAAATAATGAAACAAACTGAAGTGTTATTGCAGCCAAATCCAAGTAAGAAACTTTACATCTATCTTATTTACTAATTTTATTTTATGTAAAAATAAAGTTTTAATAACTATTGGGAATCAGAATTTTTTGGTTTGTAGCTTTGGGAATCTACCAGTGAGTGAGTGAGTGAGTGAGAGAGAGGAGAGAGAGAAAGAAAGAAAGAGTGTGTGTGTGCGCGCGCGTGCGCGCGTGCATGCGCTTTTGATGATGAAATGGGTGATAAACAGTTTTCTTTGTACTTTCTAACAAACTGACAAATAACTTTTTTTAGCCTCTGTAGAATCCTCTTGAAAGTTAAATTTCACACAGTGACTTTGAATTTCTTTAAGAGTTATAAAGAGCTGTGGGGGGAAAAAAATCTTTTTCTCCAGGGTGTGAAAAATTAAAGGAAATAATCAAAGGAAAATTATATAGAAGCTTAGTTAGTTATCAATTACTTATGTTTGTTAGGTTTTATATTTTTACATAAGGTATTCTCTTCGATTTTCAGACAATTCAGATTACCCAATTCAATGACCTTGCAGATATAGTTAGTACACAGTATAATTGTTTATTGAATGAAACTCAAAAATAAACTTTTTATCCAATGTAGCATAGTTAATTAAAAGTGGAATTTGAATTATAACCAAGTATATTGACACTCAATTTTTTCAGTATGAGCTTTACATATCAGAACTTGAAGGGCAAAGGCCATAACCCAAGCTACTTCTCCATTTCCTTAGTATTGCTGTGATCATGTTGTGAAATACTATAAACCCACTTTTAAAGACTAACTTAAAGTTCCAAGCTGTAAACTTTTTTGCTACTACTACATAAACCTCAAGAAATACAAAACATTGGTAATTCTGTGCCAGCTTAGTTATACTGTGTTAACCTTTAAATAAGCCTTTCACACTTTGAGTGAGGCCTGTTATCATTGGACACCATGTATTATTTCTTATAAATTTAAAGTCACTTAAATTACATATCATGGCACTTAAATAAAAAAAAAAATAGAGATTTTCCTTTTGTTCATTCTTTGCTTTGTCCAGAGTTTTTGACATATGTAGTTATCCTACATATTTTTCTCAATGGCAGATAAGAATGGTATCAGTGTAAAGAAGTCACAATCACTCATACAATACAACTTTATGTTAATGTTTCACTAAGTAGTAACAGTGCTTGTGTGTGTGTGTGTGTGTGTATGCGTGCATGCATGCACACACGCACACACTCTGGTTATGAAGTTACATACAGATTTTTAGTGTCAGATCAAATCCTCGTTTTCTTATAAGCTCTGTTATTTTTAGTGTGTGATTTTCCACAACTTGGGGTTTTTCAGAAATATATTTTGTACATAGCAGAATTACTCGCATATTTTAAATTTTTGTTATTACCTATTGAAATAAAACATTAATATACCAAAATTTTATTAACTGAATGAAATCAACATTGTATTCAACTTTAAACATTTGATCAGATAAGTAGAAAGAAAAGCAAAGTTAAGAATTGCTCTCAGTAAGAAAATAAAATTCTGAAATTTAATTAGTATCTTCTAAATAGTTACGTATTGAACTCATTTTGATTTTAACTAAATCAAAGATGTTTTAATTCCAGCTTTAAAACTCTTTAAAACTCTTTTGATGATGCAACGATTTTTCGAGTATTATTACAACCACCTATCTTGTGTATAAGTATGTACCAGTTTCTAAAGTGTTTATGTTACTGGTTTAGCTCATTTGTAAAATTTTCAGTTTACTATATTAAACTTTCACTTGTAGAAGAATTATTTATATGAGCTTATGGTAAGGGAAGGAACAAGGTTAACTTACTTAGATTGTAAAATTAATTAATACTAAATGTATTTGTTCACTATTACACTAACCAAGTGTGTTAGTAACCAAGTGTAATTACTCAGATTTTTGGTTCATTTTTACTAATGTTCTGTTACTGTTTTTAACCTTTTATCTTATATTTTAAGCTTATTTTTTAATGTTAAAATCTTTTGAGTGAATACATGTTCAGAGGTGTCTACATATTTATGTACTTTAAACATAAGTTTTTGTTTAAAGCCACAGTTTCATAATACTAATCTCTAGTATTGGAAGCCTGGGTGGTTCTATTTCTTTAATTCCCATGCCTATATTTAGAATTAGGGGTGGAAATGGAAGCAGGAAAGTGTGCTATAGAGAAAAGAGAGACAGACTATACAAATGAGGCAAAGGCGGCACATTCATTAGATATTAAGTGAATACTCAGCACATTTCTGTAATTTACAATCCCATGAAATATATAATAGTTTTACTTTATCAAATTTATAAAATATAAATTTCTCAGAACTATATAATACTCTTAACATGTTAATTAAAGTTTACATATAGGGTATGTGCTTGAAAGCTTTCTAACTTCACATTTACTTTATAAGTTGCAATCTTTTTAATAGTACTAAACTAAACAGTCTTTTAAATAATTTGGTTTTGAAATCATTGGTAATTTTAAACCTTTCTCCTAGATGCCAGGATAGAAGAATTTGTTTATGAGAAACTGGATAGAAAAGCTCCAAGTCGTATAAACAACCCAGAACTTTTGGGACAATATATGATTGATGCGGGGACAGAGTTTGGCCCAGGCACAGCTTATGGTAAGCAAAAGGCAAATACAATCTAATAATATCTTTATTTCTATATTAATATCATTAACATTTAATGTTAGAATCAATTTTAGCTTTAAATTTTTTTTGTTAAAATTTTGAATGTAACACCTCTGTTGTAAATTTCTTGTGGCATTTTGCAATTTTTGTTTACATATATCTCTTCTTTTATTGATTTCTTGATAGCTTATTTCTGTATTAAAGCACTTGTCACATAGTGAGTGGCTGAACAAATCATTAGTGCTTTTATTACACAGTATTGTTAGTACCACAAAAATGTGGATAATCATTATTTTTAATGTCTGGTTATTTGGATTATATGGCATTTCTGTTTTTCTCTTGTATATAATTTTCTGTAATCATGTTTTACAGAAATGCCAACTTTATTAGTTGTTGTGCATTCTTTGATGTATATAACTCAGAATCTCAAAGTTGGACATTTATTTTATCCTGCAAATCTAATTTTCTTACAACATGACACAGATTTCTATAGCTTTTTTTCTTGGTGTGCATGGCAAATAGCTCTCTTTATACTAAAACTTCTACAAGAAATTTGGTCCTTGTTTGGAAATGAAATAGATAAATTATTTGCTTTAGATAGTCTTGATTTATGAAATAGCTCATAAATGCTTGGATTAAATGAACTTAAGTTTTAGTACTTGACTGCATCAGCATAAATAACCTAAATAATGTGAAATTAATGCCACTGATCCATTGCTGGTGTTTAGATGTGCAACTTCAAAACTTTTATATTGTGTTCTTCAAAGGAGAATTCTTTCAAGTCAGAAAATGCTTAAAATTTCTGTACTTCAATTTCTAAACACTGATTGTTAATCTTAGAAAAACTTCAGACATTAAGCAGATTTTTTAATTGCCTGGTTGTGCCTGATGTCATTAGATCCTATGGTCAAAATAATATATAAAGTCCCCAGCCCTTTCTTTTACCAAGCTTAAGCCCTAATGGAATAGAAACATTTTTTTCCTCTCTTAGTCTGCTTAATCTGTTCACATCTCCAGTAATTCCAGGTGACTTACACATTTTATTAGAATTGGGTGTGTGAATCTGTTTATTTGTAATTGTTTCTAGCTATCAATTGAGTTTTCCATTGTGCTGAGCATTATATAATAATATGTATTATTTCAGTCAATTCTCATTTATATACTTCTTAAAATGCAAATCACACAATTCATCCATGATCACACAGCTAATAATTCAAATATATCTAATCTCAGTCTTAGAGGAAGAATTAAAACACACACAATTAAAACAGAGGTAGAACTAGTAATGGAATCTCGGTCTTGTGATTTCACTCTGTTTTCCACTATACTTGCCCTATTTCAATATTAGGGTACTATATATGTGTTGTAAAACATGGATCAATTTTAATTTAAGATATAGTATATATATTACTATTTCTAGGTACTTCAGTACATAAATGTAGAAACAAGACAAATTTTGATTTGATCTATTTGAAAATATATTTTAAGCTTTATACTGTTACCAACATACTACACTATTTGAACTGTGACTATAAATACTTAGTAGTATATCTGTCCACTTTTGTCCCATTGGTAAAATCAGTACAATTAACTATGCTGTGGTAAGAAGTTAATCTTTGTTGTTTTCATTTAGATATTTATAATCTTAAATTTACTTTTATTTATTTTTAAGTAAACAAGTAACAACTAACTTTAAAGCAGATCAAATAGCTAATTTATCTTTATATGATTTTATTTTTTACATTACCAGACAGTGGTTTTTAAAAAAAAAAAAAAAAAAAAAAACTCTTTTCCTTTCTAGGTAATGCCCTTATTAAATGTGGAGAAACACAAAAACGAATTGGAACAGCGGACAGAGAGCTAATTCAAACATCAGCTTTAAATTTTCTCACTCCGTTAAGAAACTTTATAGAAGGAGATTACAAAACAATTGCTGTGAGTTGAAAAATACTACCTTTCTTAGTAAAATAATTTACAACTGTAAAGTTTTTAATGATTAAAAGCTAAAGATTATATAGATGTGGCAAATTAGAGCATTTAAATAACTGCTAGTTAAGTACTTTCAACAGAACACAAAACTAAACCAAAATTAAGAACAAATGATGATATGGACTCTATTTTTATGTCCCTATAGTATCATTAATTACTAAGATGCCTTTTCATCCATTCTTACTGCTAGCATTGAAATCTGTGGAGAGGTATTTGGAAAGATAACAAAATTATATTACACAGTAGCACCATACTGTCACCATAGTAGCACCCTAATTTAAACTAGGGACCAGAAATCTAATCACTGGAAACCGTATTTTTGGCTTTTATACTTCCTGTCTTTTTGTATCTTTAGAAGTCCATTATCTGTGTTATATCATTTCCCAAACTCAAGATTTTTGTAAGACTGCTCTTTATTGTAACTGCTTCTTCAAACTTTAATCCTCAGATTTCTTATTACAAAATATTGTAGAAACTCTTATTTATAATAAATTTGTCTTAGGGTAAACACATGTTTGGACTCAGACAGAGGAAGGTCGACCAAGTTGAAATATCATTTAAAACACATTAGATTGTCAGTAGGGTGAAGTTTGAGATATGAAATCTTGTGGACTTATTATAGAAACTGGACGTTCCCGTGACCAATTCTAAGCTATCACACTAATGTTTATTCATAACCAGGGGATTAGATAGCTGAATGGTCACCTAGTAGCTAATTTTATAATCATAAACCTTTGCCTATCAGATAATATATACTTAAAGGAGAATAATACCTTTAAATGTGTATCTCTTTGTGGATTTTAGCACCACTAGCCTTTTTTTTTCTCTACTATATTTATAGAAAGAAAGGAAACTATTACAGAATAAGAGACTGGATTTGGATGCTGCAAAAACCAGACTAAAAAAGGCAAAAGCTGCAGAAACTAGAGCTTCAGTAAGTAGTATTTTTTAATAGAAAAATACTTTATGTTAATAACTTTAAAACTTGTAAAATAATTTGACTTATATACCACATTATATATCCTCACTTCTCATGTAAGCCACAGTCTATCATTGAGACAAGAATATGACTTTAGGATATTGTTTTTGTGATTTTAAATACTTAACAAAGTTAATACATCCAAAATAATTTTTTAAAAAAGTCATATCAAGAGGCAGTATTCTTATTTCAGCAATACACCTGTTACTAAAACAAAAATTATAAATGTTTTTAAAGTTGTCACATGTTCTTTAAATGCCCTCGGTGGTGATGGCAAGTATGTCCTTTGGAGATATTTATTATACTTGAAATAGAAAAACAGTAATTATAGTGAGAATACATCAAGTTTGAGAATGTTTGTGTGTGGCTTAAATATTAGATGTGGTGCCCATATGACTCACTGACTAAAGATGTCACCAAGGATAGTGGCTTAAAGACTCCAGGTGACTATTTTTAAAAGGTGGTGACCCATTTGGATAAATAAGTTCTGGTATAGTTTTCCTAAAGTCAACCCTCAGAAATAATCTTTTAAAATAATAAAATTCAGTGATTTTATATAAACTTAAATTTATTAAAAGGTTTTTTATTTATAAGCTTCTTATTTAATATTTATACTATCTGACCTCCAATCTAAATTTTGAAAAGATTACTCAGATTTCAGTTGAAAATAGTACAATATAAACAAGTCTATTTATTAGAGGAACTAAAAAGTTAATTCTTAACTTGAACTAAGGGGTGGGTTTTGTTAAAAGGCACAATATTTCCACTGCTTTCTGTTTCCAACTCACTACCACTGCTACCTCAAGAATTGTTGCCTTGATGAGCATATTATCACAATGCTGGCAGAAGTCTAGTGTAGCTCTCTTGTTTGGGGAAAGAAAAATTTGATATTTCATTTAGTATGAAATCTAAAATTGGTAAGTTGGTGTTGGGCAGTGATGTCTTAAGAGACTGTCCCAGACCCTTAAATGAATAAATTATTTTCTTCTAGACAGTGTCCCTAAGTGTTAGCAGCTGCTGGAGAAGAGCAGTATTTCACAGGACATTAATTCCAAATTCACTGACATTTACATCTCAGTATTTATCATGATCATCTTCAAAAACAGCCTTACTTCCCTACACAGATTTTTTGCAGAATCAGAACTTTTACAAATGAATCCTGGAGATGACAAGAAACTAAATTATGATATTAGTTTCTAGTTGCTAATAATAAACTTTTATTGTAAAATATAAATTGGTTTTTAAGATACTAATTTCCTAATCAGGAAAAATGTTAAGCAAATAAGCATCATTTGGAAATAAACATTTGAACTAGAACAGAATCCCTTCAATCAAAATGCTTATATATGCCCAGTAATGTTTAAGGAATAAGAACAGTGTCAATACACAACTTTGTTAAGCACCATTACAAGCTTATGATAGTCTAGTTTTTTACCCGGAAAATGTTAGAAAGCGCATGAATTTAATTGTGTTTTAGGTCCTTTGATTTTTCTAAATTATTTTACCACTGCTATTAAAATCTGTAAGACCTAAATGTAATAGTTGACAAATTTAGAGAGTTTTTTTGTTAATGTATTCAGAAATGATCTTCACAGTTTCGCTATGTTGTGTATTTTTTGGGGCAGAATTTTTTTACATGAGAATTTGTATTTAAAATAAAAATGAAAGACTTTACAAATGACTTTACTCAATAATTTTACATTCATCTTTTATAGAATTTATATATTGCAGAAAATAAAATTTAAGTGCAGCCAAATATTAAAAATATTAGTCTAGATAAAAATGTACATTTCCTGATTATTTGTGTTATTTCCCCCAAGATGATCAGCTTTTCTTCAAACTTTGTACCAGTGAATCTGAAATACTTTGGGAAGGCAAGGTTCTCTTAATTTGTAATCACTTAAAATCTTGACACATGCCTAAATTTTGTGATCTTTTTTCATTTTTTTCTGTATTTCTCTTCCATTTACTTGAAGAATACAGAAAAATGGAAACCACGAGGAGTTTAGGTTTGCGTTTTGCTGCTTTGACACATTGCTTTGGTTCCTAGTGTGCAGTTGAAGTGGTTTCTCTAACTTCACAATTTCTTTGATTTTAATTCTTAAGTTTCCATGGATTGTTTTGTGACTAGTTATTCCTCTGTAAGTAAGATTTGAGACTGTGCATATCAGCCCGTATTTTTTTAAATTATTTACTAGTTTCTTGTGGCTTCTTTTTATTTCTTTAATGTTAATTCAATAAATTAGGCACAATACTGAGTAGTTCACAGATAAATAATGTAAAATCTCTGCTCCTTGAGTTTAGAGTCTAGTATAGTAGATTGAACTTTTGATGATTAATTCTCTCAGTTAAAAAAAGTATGTCTGTTTTCAATATTGTTACTTAACTAATATGTGTTTTGCATGTTTTAGAGTGGTAAAACAACATCAAAAACATTTCTCAAAAATAAAATAAGTTTTATCAGCTCTTCTAATACTTAGTTGTGTGTTTTTTATTGTGTAGAAGTAACTTGGTTCATTGTGTTCATTGGTATAATGTGTTCTTTGTCTCTTACTTATGCACTTAAGCAACTAAATTCAGCTCGCCTTGAAGGAGATAACATTATGGTAAATTTCTCTTACATGCTCAACTTCCTGCATGTAAAATGGCTGAAGGTTTGTTGGCCTACTGTGTTTTCTACATCTTAAATAAAGTGCCTTCTCTTGCTATTCATCTGCATGTGAAAGTCTTTTCAAAGATATGCATTCATTATGTCTAACATAATATAGGGAATAGTAACTGAAGTAATATTGGAACGTGAAGAAAAGAAATTGTCTGTTCTAACTGAAAAATAAATTAGCTATGCCAAATTCAGATTTTGGAATCTGAATTTATACATATGGTGCTTTTTTAATGCAATGAAATATGTTAAGTTTAGGTGGCACAACTTAGAGAAGGGTGTAAATAAGGTATACAAATTGACTTTGCTTCTTAGTATCTTCAGTATTTACCTTATTTTTACCCAAACTCAACATAGAATTTCTTCAGCAATTCCAGTCAAAGACAAACACCAGTAGTTTATACTGGCAAGACTCATTTCCCATCCAATGCTAATTCACTTAAGAAAGTTGCCAGGATAGTGATAGTGTTAGGCTAGAACTGGCAATAAGTAGTGTTATATAATAGCCAAAGTATTTATTGAATTTTATTTTAGAAAATTTTCAAGATGTTAGGAATTTTAAATTTTTATAACAAAGCAAATTTGCAAAATCTGAACATAGCCCAAAAGAGTATATAAATGTAGCCATAAAGTGTTTGCTGTTATACTTCTACACATATAATTTCCATAGACATGGCATGTCTGTGGTACTGTTATAATAAATTAGCAATTGCTTGACTGTTTTTATTCTAGTAGCATTAAACTAAATGCAGGGAGGAAAATCCATGTAATATACAGAAATGTAAAATGCATTTTGTTGTGTTTTTTTTTTTTAACTATTATAATTATTGAAGCCCTGGCTAAATTAGGGCTTTGTCCAGATAGCAAGAGAATGCATTAATATATTTCCATTGTCCTACCTGTAGGTAACTGAAAATGAAAAATGTGAGACTAGTTTAGTCATTGGTAATTTAGTATTTAAATCATAGGTTTTCCTTAATGTTGTAACACTGATTATAACAGGTTTTTCAAGTTCATTTTATCTTGTTTATTGTGCCCTCACCCCCAAAATGCCTGTGTCAGATTTATCCTCTATTTTAATTTCCTAAAATGCTAAAATGTTAGCTCTAAATGAGAAATTAGAAATAAGTTAGGCCAAACCTATCATTAATCATTTTCTAAAATAGAAACTAAAACTAAGAGGGATTGTTTACTCTCCATTTGGGCAAGCTGCTATTTTTATTAACTTACAGAATTAACATAAAATTCAAAAATCAATAGTATTGATATATATGAAGGCATACTTTCACAGTATATTAAGCTACACCGATTTAGTTACCAGTGTTTAACATGTTGATGTGATTCTGGAAAAGTATGTCATTTTAATTAAAATATTTACATTTTTCTATACTAAGTTGTAGAAAATACTAAATTCCAACTTTCTTTCATACTCTATATTTTTCTCTAATTTTTAATGCTGGCTAGATTTGGGCAGAGGAAGTGACAAAAGTAAGTAAATTATTATAGACTTATGAAACAAATTTAATTGTCATTCACTCAGTAAATATTTATTGGGCAACAACTATGGGGCAACTCACAGTCTTTGTATTATAGATTATAAAATCTGAAAATTTTTATGGAAAGCTTATGTCTGTCTGGTTGGTAGTAGCTCCATAGAGCAATAAAACAATGTAGCAGAGATGTGGTTGCACACACTGTTTCTCAGTATAGCATTCAGTAGTAATCTTTACAATGCCTTGCCAAAAGACCGTTTAAACTTGGTCTATTCATATGACAATTATATAAAATATAGTTAACACCATGTCCTGTTATTTTTAGAGAATGGTACATGTCATGTCACACAAATGAATTTTCTATGTAACTAAAACTGGTTCTCTCCATTTGCAAAGTTAATTTTTAATCAGTCACTCTAGTTGAAAATGTATAAAAGTACTTTATTGGGCTGTACTAGATACAGGATAACATTTAATTTTACTTACAGTTAGAGTGATTTATTATGTTCATTATTTTACTGTATAACAATTAGATTCATTGTTTTTGAAGTATGTAGTCTCCTCCCTCAGTGTCAAACTGTCACTTTTAGAAGCTGCCCTTGTGACTGCTCATAGCAGTTCCTCTGCCTGTGTTACCATTTCTGATCTTCTCAGGGCTGCAAAATCAAGTATCTCAGCAAGAGTTTAAGGAATAAAATTATTGACTTTAATGCAGATTTGTTTCAAATACTACTTAAGGTCTTCAGAAGCAGTTTTGACTTACTCTTGTTCAGGCTTACCAAAATCTGATCTCCAAATGAGAACAATTGCTGGAGACTAGGGGCAGGTAGTAATTATAGCTTCTGACTATTAATAATTTTATAAATGTTAGCTTTTTATCTCCTGAAGGTGTAAAATTCCTGGCTAAGCAGTCTGTTTCCTGACTTGGAAATAAAAGGCAAATTCTTATGTTCTCAGTCCCCTTTGTGGAATCTATTTATGAGCTTAGTTATTATGGTTCCATTATGGCTTCTGATTTTTTACTAAAACTCTAGCACAGAAAGGGGCACCAAGTAACAGAAATTAAACAAGAAAACCTGGGTCTCTTCCCCTTTGGTTTGCATACAGGGCCGCCAAAAACTGATTTGATTCTGCATTCTCTGCCAGCTTGAGACATATTTGATATAATAGAAGAAACTCATGAAACAAATATTTACATTTTATATGAAATAAATTTAAGGAAATAAAGCAAAATAGAAATAAAAACATATAATTTTAAATTTTCATATTCCTGGAATATTTTAAGATGTAAATTCATAAAAAAAAAAGTAGGTAACTACAAAGAGCAAATGCCTCAAGTTAGCAAGTTCTGATATTATAAACCAACAAATTCTTGCCCCTTTTCCAAGTTACATCCTAAAAGAACTCTCATACCCCAGTTATTCTACACTCTATACTATTCACCACACACACACACATACACACATACACACACACACTCTCTCTCTCTCTCTCTCTCTCTCTCTCTGTCAGTTAGCCCAGGAGCAATAATTCTAAGAGTACAATGTCTTTTCCATACAATTCTGCATCTTTATAAAGTTGAGAAATCTGGAGAATAGAATAAAAACCCCTTAAATTCATTATCTCTTTAAACCTCTTTTGTATTTCTAATATGGACCATTTTCTTCCTAAGTAAATTGATTATGCAGGCCCTAATTTCAATGATATCAACCTTAATTATTATGATCAGGTATTTGTGTCTGAAATAGAGATGGTTTGGGACAACTGTCAAACTCCCCAGACGTATACTGAAACTTCTTCAAGAAATAAGATCCGTTTCTTTCCTATCATTTGCCTTTTCTAAATATAAAGCTTAGATTGTATAGAAAAATGATTTCCTAGGCTTTGTAACATGGTGCCTTTCTTCCCAAGTAGTCACATTTTGCTTAGGCATTTAAGACTTATCCCTTTTCCTTAATGAGATTATTTTCTGTATTTGTGTATGTGTATTTATGGTGTTCTTAGCTTTAAAACATTAATTTCTTCTTCAGACTCGGGCCCTCCTGATCTCTTTTATCTGAACCTACCTTGCTTGCTAATAACCTTGTATAGAAATTGTCCCATATAGTAGATGTTTCTGTCTTTCCTGTTAAATGCTATTTAATTAGTTTGTACTTTCACAAAGAACTACATGCAACTAGCTATGAAGTTCATTTATTTTTAGTTTTTTTGTGGCTACTTCTATTAATCAAATTTTTTGCATTCAACCAAGCAGAACAATAGATATTGCAAATATAAAACTGAAGTAATTTTTTTCTTAATGCTTTCCTTAGGAAGAATATTCATTCTTTTCCTAGGACTTTGTTCTGCTTCACACTAACTTCCAGATGAAGCTGACTTTAACCCTGTTATTAAAGCACCATGTATTCTTGTTTCAGTCAAATAAATTTAAACTCCTTACTTACTGAGTCATTCAATCTTATTTCCATAAGTAATTGATTCTAGTGGTCAATTCTTAGTTCCCTAGCCAGGTCTCTGGCAGTGGCATGAGACTCAGTATACCAACTGTTTATCTAATTTGCTGCTACTTTCTTGTTAACTGGTTCACTGGATTAATACTTACTACTAACGAGTGAAGGAAAGGGAGATGCGGTGAGAAAAAGACTAGGACCTTATTTTTATACTTACTGCAGTTTGAAAATACTATAATGAGTTGGATATGGCAGGGAGGAGGGAGCCATTAATCCTACAGATGTAATATGTTATAATGAAGTAATCATTGTATCATCGATGATTCCCAGTAGGGAAATAAGGTAACTATTGTGAGAGCTGAGATTTAATTTTCTCCTCTTTCCTTACTTCAACCAGCTCTGGCTAAAAGTTTGAGAGGACATTGTTTGGAGTATTGACTGTTTTTAGATCCTGTGGATTTTTAGTGACTGTTTAGTCCCAAGAGTAAACTTATATGAAATGGTTGAGGTCAGTAGTAATGTGCCACTCTTTTCAACTCCCAGGTTAGTGACTTCAACTTGGTAGCTTGAAATCAGCTGTGTTGAGAGTATTTATACCATGATATTCAGCACATCAGCGCTTTTGTTTATTTGTTTTTCAGGGAGCTGATTTACCAGAACACCACTTATTTAAAAGGTCACCCATACCTTATAGAAAAATTCTAGCATAGTTTATGGATAATATTTTTGCTTAAGGCATATTTTATGCAAAGTTTGAAAGGAAAACAAAAATTAATTCTCCTGTAGAACAAAGAATCGTTTGAAAGAATCTGAGAACTGGGGCCTCCCTGGTGGCGCAAGGGGTTAAGACGCAACCTATGAAGCTATCCGTAGCCACTGCAGCAGGAGTTCGATCCCCAGCCGGCTAGAGAGCATCCCATGTGGCGCAGCAGACCTCTCCTGACTGGCCTGCTGCTCCCCTCAGCAGTGTATTTCAGTCATTCTGCCTGGTCTGTTCCCCACTCTCTCTGGTGAATCCTCTCACCCCCCTACACCTCTGACCTGTACCCCAGTTCTTGTATGCATAAGTAAATAAATCTTTAAAAAAAAAGAATCTAAGATATACCTGTTTATAGAACTAAACATAAGCAGTTATAAGCCTATATCACTTTGCTCTAAATTTTTTCACTTGAGATTGAAGACTATCTTTATCTTCAAAGTACTATAACTACACTAATTATGAACATTTGCAATATTTTATACATGTAAACTAGTAATACTCTTAAGATTTTGTAAATGTTAAAAATTAACAAAATTGATACTAGAGGATGTGCTAAAATACATTCACTAGCCGATAATTTTTCTAGGTGTTTATGTGTATATTGTTAAATTTTGGCAGTAATAGATTCTTTTAAGCCAGCTATTGGTAAGGAAACAGTCTGTCTAGACTGAGGAATATATAAAAAGCTAAGGTCTAGAAACCAGAGACCAATTTATATACACAGCAGAATCAGGGAATTGCCAGATTATCATTTGGGGTTTAGAGGATTTTTGTTAACTGCCAAAATAAATGTACATAAAACAGACTAAGTCTTGTAATGAGAGTCTAAAACTATTTTCCAATTTAAGTCTGAACAGGAATTAAGAATAACTCAAAGTGAATTTGATCGTCAAGCAGAGATTACCAGACTTCTGTTAGAGGGAATCAGCAGTACACACGTGAGTGTTCAGTCTTGGAAATTCATTTGAAACAAAAAATTTGCTAAGTCCTAAGGCAATTTAGAGAGGAAATAATGAACTATTTCAGTCATGTACCAAGGGAATTTAAATTGTGGCACTTCCAAAGATAAAACATTTTATGAAAAATAAAAATTATTTTAAATTTTACTTATGTCTCATCCCTTGTTCTCTCACCATCATCATATCCAATTGCTAGATTTTGTTAACAAACAGATTATTGTTACACTGTTGACCAGTGTCAATTTTAATAAACCTTGTAGTAAAATGCTAGATACTGGTGATTTTTTCCTGAGTTCAATGTTGTGTTCTGTCTCCTCTTAGCATTTGCCACTTTAAGTACATAATAGAGCCTAGAAGTGACTGACTTTCCCTTACAGGCCCATCACCTTCGCTGTCTGAATGACTTTGTAGAAGCCCAGATGACTTACTATGCACAGTGTTACCAGTATATGTTAGACCTCCAGAAACAACTGGGAAGGTAATATTTTCCTTTTCACATGCAAAATTTCTGATAAGGGAAGAAATGCAGATTTTTATGTATGAATTAATAAAGGTGATAATTAGGAGAATTAAAGGTTTTTGTATATAAATGGTGTGGAACCATTAAGATGAGACTTTATGTGACATTTGAAGGCAGAATATTAAGAGAAGTTATTACAAGGAATAAATAAAAAAAAAATATGTCATTTTAGTATTCCCTTCTGTGTATTCTTCAAACTAGACCTGGAACAAAATTGCATATCTAGAAGCTAATTTTAGATCTTAAAACTGAGTTGTAGTCTAATATCACCGGTTATTGTAATAAGATTTACAGAAAAATTTGCACTTCTATATATTGAAAGTTTTGTTAGTGGTATAAATACCTGAAAGCAGAACACCACTTTTTCCACACATCGTTACAACTACTTTAAGCCAAAGAAGCCTTAGTACTTTCTTTTCGCTTTGTCTTACTACAAAGTGTAGGAATGGGGTTGCTGTTGGTTACTATTCATATTTGTATTCTTCTTAAAGCCACACAATGTTTGAAACTTAGCCTTTTAAAGAAAATATACTTATTGCTGCACTTTAAGATAAACTCAACATAAAAAAATCCATTCAGACAAAACCTAGTTATTGCGGTAAGCTAAATAATAGGTAAAGGGAAGTAATAAAGGGAAACCAGGGCTATTATTCTAAGGAAGAAAGTCTAGCTTGTCTCCCTGCCCTCAGAGAATTCTGATAGAGACTGGGGGAAAGTTTTGGCCTTTATAATCTGTTGCAGGTTGTATTTTATAAGACAGTATAGAGAAATATGCAAAACTTAAAAATTCATCCAGATCCACATTAAAAATTCAAATGTTATTTCTAAAAAGTAGAGCCAGGTTTTAATGTAAATCATTCCAATAGCAGTGTTGGTAGTAAGTAGTAACTGAATATCAGCAATCACTTAGGTAGGGCTTCAGCTGTCCCCACATACTCTTCTGGGCATGGTCAAACCCTGGGTGCATTTTAAAGGTAGAATGAGGAGGATTTACTAGCAGATTTTATGTGTATGAGGCTTGGAGGAGTCAAACATTACTGCAGTTTTAACCTGAGCAACTGAAATGGAGTTGTGGATAATTAAAATGGTGAATGCCACAGGAAAGCAGGTTGCATTGGGCAGGGCACATACGGTATATCAGAAGCCCAATTTTAGACATGTTAAATTGGAGATATCTATTAAAGCTTCTAAAGGGAGATAACCAATTTAAGTGTATGCAAACCTGAAGTTTGGGGGAGTAAATTGGAGATTTAAAATAGGAAGTCGTCGGCATCAACCACATTTAAATCTGAGACTAAATGAAATCATCAGGGGAACAAGTATAGGTAGAGAAAAGGACTAAGGACTGAACTCTTCTGAAGTACTCCAACAGGAGGAACCTGCTAAGGAGTGGGCAGTAAGTTAAGACTTAAATCAGTTGCAGAGCCTAGAGGTCAAATGAAGATGATGATGTAGAAAAGCAGAAGGGAGTGGTCTGTTATGATCACTAGATAGGTCAGGTGAATTGAGGGTTATTACTGAACAGTTATTGCTTACCTCAGCAAGAGTGATTTTGGTGGAACAGTAGGGACAAAATCTTGTTTGAAACTTAAGAGTGTAAGGGAAAGGAATTGGGTTGCTAAGTTTAGATAAATCTTTCCAAGAGTTTTAGAGTAAAGTGGAACAGTAGCCAGAGGAGAAAGTATAGTCTGGTTGATTTTTATTTTTTAAGACAGAAGAAATGAGAACTTGTTTTTAAAATAGTGGGAATGATGCAATAAATGGAGAAAATGTAATATGGGCAAGGGAAGAATTACTAGTGTGATAATCTTGAGGCAAAAGGGATGAGATTTATGGACAGGTGGAGAAATTAGCTTTAGGAACATAGACATTTCAGTAAGAGGAGAGATGAGCAAGAGTATGGAAGTTTCTTGGTTCTCTCTCCGGTTAAAAGGAACTAATCATCGGGCCTCCCCTGGTGGCGCAGCGGTTGAGTGCTGGGCTGCGAGGCAGGCCACAGCCTCTGCAGAGCCGGTTAGTTCCCCAGCCGCCAGCGAGGGAGACACAGACAGACAGACACACACACACACACACACACACACACAGAACTACTCATGGGCTAAGTATAAGGTCTAGGGATAATTGCAGGAATTTTGAGGATAGATGAAAGGGTATGTAATAGTAATTAGGAGAATGGAAAGTGAATGTACTAGAAAAAATGCAGTGTAATTGCCAGGTAGGGTTGTGGAACTATATTGAGGTTCCTACTTATAAATTGAACGTAAGATCAGACAACATGGTTTTGTATTTTTTCTCCCATCACAGTAGATACCTACTGAGTTCGTAAAGAGATACTTTCTTTTACCAAGTGAGTAAGATGAAGTAAGTGGCATGGGAGATGAAATCATATTACAGTAATCAGCCATGAACTTGAAGGGAGTGTTAGTAGGCTCATAGACAGTAGATTTATTGTAGGACCATAGAACCAAAATAAGCTTGTTGAAGTGAGAGTTGTAGGAAAAAAGATGGTGGTCAGAGAATGAAATGCTGGAAATTATTATTGGAAGGTTTACAGTTATTGAAATGAATAAGGTCTAGATGAGAGAATGGGAATGGATAGCTGAACTAGGATCAGACAAAATCACTAGAAGAGTTGCGTTCATGGCTCTGAGACTTGTTCTTCCAAAGTGTTGGAAAATTACCAATATGGATTTTAAAATCACCAAGGATTAAGATATAGTACAGTGACTCAAAAGTTAAAATCTAGAAATGAAAGGAACAGAATGAATATTGCAGTAAGAGATAGTTTGGGGCAGGACTGTGTAGAAATGGTAATGAGGAACATACAGCTCCTCTATCCATCTCTAGTATCAATGATAAAAAGAATGTAGAAGATAAAAAAACAAGCATAAGATGTGGAGGGAAGTCTTCAAAAGAGGGTAAAGGTAAAGGGAATTTTGCTGCTTGCTATGATTTCCAGATGACACACGGTCATAACACAAAAAAGAAAATTATAATTCATGAAGTGATAGATTTCATCCATCCTACCAGATGAGACCTTTTATACTTCAACTGGTGTATTTATTAAAATTCAAATATAAATTTTATAGTAATTTTTAACCTTAGAAATGGCTGGATTAAAATGATTATAGGCCAGTTGTTTTACATTTTCTTCCATTTAAATAGTACTACTGGAAAAAATAGTAGCCATACAATTCCTTGAAAATTCTAATTATCTTTAAAATTTTAAGCACATTGATCACAAGGATTTCAATGTTTGCTAATAAATCTTTTATTATTTCCCCTAAAACATAGTATAAATGAACTTGGGAAATTTACCCTGTTCTTATTGACTCCCATTGGGTCTTCAGTATGACCTATGATTTGAATATTCATCTCCTCACTTGTCTATATTTCCATAAAGGAATGGTATTGTTTCATCTTTGTGTCTTCAGTGTCAACTTATGGTAGTGATGCTAGATTCCAAGATACTCGTATTTGTCACTTGAACAAATAAGAAATGGATTGGTTTTATTAAAAAGAAAGTTCTGTATAATTTTCTCAGAAAATTAGCTTGAGAAAGCTTCATTCCTGTGGTGGAATCTAACATTTGAATAGTTTTTCATTTATATTTTATTGAACAACTCATAAAGGGAAGATTTATTGGTAAAACATACTAATAGAAGTTTTTTGGAAGTGTTTTAAGATAGACTCATTTTTTCTGGTTAGAAGTAACTCCTTTTTAAAAACATTTAGTTTATATTTGTAGACAACTTTGAAACAAACTTTCAAGGATTTATTTTTGAAAACCACCTGAATTTTTTCTGTGTAATTGGCCCAAGAGGAATAAGCTGGGTAGCAAGCATACTGTGTCCTTATTTTTTTTTTTAACATTTTTAAAGGACCGGTTTATTAGGAATATGGGAAAAAAAGAGAGAGAACCTACATAGTCAGAAGTGGGCAGAAGAGCTGTATTTTGCCAGAAGTGGTAGTGATAATTGTCTTTCAAATATTATTAACATCTAAATCTTTAGCCAAAGCAGAAGTTGATAGAAAGTAAATAGTGCCACCCAGTGGTGATATTCAGGAGCTTTGGTCACTTTGAAATAGATAATTGGCCATTTTCTTTTCAACAGTTTTCCATCCAGTTACCATAGTAACAACAATCAGGCTTCTGTGACACCTGTATCATCTGCTTCATCAAATGTGATTGGTTCTTCTGCACTGACATCAACAAGTGGCCTAGTAATCACCTCTCCTTCCAACCTCATTGACCTTAAGGAATGCAGTGGCAGCAGGAAGGCCAGGGTTCTGTATGATTATGATGCTGCAAATAGTAGTGAATTATCACTTCTGGCAGATGAGGTGAGTAATATATGGGTATAAGAAGAAAATACAGGTTGACATAACTTCTAGTATTATAGTGAAATGCAAATTCCTCATTACTTACTTGAAATTGGTTTATCTTAATACTGTCATTGATTTCAGATGGTTATAGTAACAGTTTATAAAATCAACTATTTAACATAAAATTATTTTAAACTTTTAATGGTTAAATAACTGAAAATTTCTAAATCTGTCTCAAATAATAACCGTTCAGCAAAAACAATATGTTTAGTCTTTTGATAGTGAATAGTTTAAGCAAATGAAATGCAATTCGTAGTTTTCTTTATTTTTTAATACAGTTAATAACTGGAAAAATTTTATTTTATAGGTGATCACTGTGTTCAGTGTCGTTGGAATGGATTCAGACTGGCTAATGGGCGAAAGGGGAAATCAGAAGGGCAGGGTGCCGGTAACCTACTTAGAACTACTCAATTAAATAGGTGGGCTATTACCCATCATGACACCATATTTATATACAGTTAACTCTAAATAAAGCAGGTTTATAAGTATCGTCCATGTTAATGTCTTAAGAAAGTGAAAAGAAGATACCAGCGATCAGAAACTGGTCTTTCTGCCAATAAAGTTGCATGGTAAATATTTCATTACAAAATTTGTGTTAGAGCTTTCATGCCAAGAATGTTTTCTTAAAAATCTTTCTACTGAGGTTTCACTAATAAGCAGCTTCTACTTTTGAACCCCAACTTAAAGCAGAACTGTTTTCTACTGAATTTTTCATTAATGGCAAGTTTTTCCTCTTATGTAAAATAAATTTATTGTGAATTGATATCAGTGACTCATTTATTAGATATAATTAATAGCCAAAGGATAAAATTAAAATTTCTTTTAAACTTTTGGATTAAAAAGAACTCTAGAGTATAAACCTCTTTTATGAAGAATGTTTCTGAATGTTTCTATAAACAGAAATGCAGTTATACCAGTTTACCTTGTTTTACAACAGAAATTGAATAATTTTAATACTATATTTTGATGGGTTATTTTGAAGGTTTGTTTGTTTTATAAGAACTACTGAATAGTTTCTTTTAAATTTAAAAATTAGCCCTTGAGAATTGTTACCTTATTTCTCTGGCATATTTGCAGCTAAGGTTCTAAAACATCTGGGACAAGTTCATTTCACTAAATAGTGTTTTTAAGATTGTTCAGTTGGCACAATTTCATGCATAATCTGAGTTAGATCCATTAGGAACAAAAATCCTTATAAATATAATTAATGTGGCTACATTCATCATAAAGCAAATTGTATACAAACAGAATAAACTTTTGGTTATTCTGAGCCTACTAATAGAATTTTGAAACTTTTAAAATGAATTTAGGCTTTTCTTGATCAGGATCTCTAGTTATGAAACACCTGCTAATGAAGTGATTAATGACACACTTGTAATCAGAAAACCACTAATTGGGACTAGTGCCATGAGTCAGCAGCTTGCTTCCATGTTAGAACTTCTGCTCTCATTCTTTCATTTATTTAAGCATTTGTTGAGGGTCAGGCACTATGCAGATAAATTAAAAACTACCCTGTGCAAGATGCCACAGTCCTGTCCTCTGACAATCTTAAGGGACCAGTGGATACTGAAAAATAAACAATTGTCATGTAACATAATCAGTTTCATGATTGAAGAAATCTGGGTACTGTGTTTGAGACTTGGGGAATCACCTAATTCAAATTTGGGGGAATGGGAGGTGTTTTGATGAGGCATAAGCATAATGTGCAAAGGCATAGTTCATTTCTTCAGGTAATGTTAATGTATTAAAATGATAATTTTTGGTACTTTATAAAACAAAGAATACTTGAAACAGCATTTAAAAATAATCCTTTTGAGTTAAGAGCCCCAAATTAATCAAACATATTTTGATTTGTTTCACAAGGCCAAACTTTTAACAGTAGTACTCTTAAAGAACCCCAAATACTGCTAAAGCTAGTTAACTAGAGAACCATGTGAGTGAAACTTTTGCCCCACAGAAAAGAGGTTCTACAGCCAGCATAGATTATTATCTATTATGTCCTAGGAGGACAGATTTAGAATTTAAGAGAGCCTAGAAAAAAATTCAAGTCAACTTAAACAGCAATGACAAATTAGGTTTATGGGAAGTAGATTTGAAAGAATATGAGTAATGGAGTGAAATGGTCCTGGGTTTAAATCCAGTCTTCCTCACATACTGTGATCTTTAAATTTCTATTCAGGCATTGTATTAACTGCCATTAATATATGATGATAATTATGCAACCCTTGGGATTATTTTGAGGATTACATAGCAAATGTTATCTTGTATATTAGGCAATTTTTAGGGAAAGGCTTGGCACACAATAGGAATATTCTCTATTTCCCCTTGTTAGCATCCATAGCTTCCTGACCTACCCAGACTGTAAGCCTTGTTTATAACTGTGCCAGGGAGACCTCTTTTATATTCTTGCCCTGTTCTTATCAGTTGTATCCTGGACCCTGTTTATAATCAGACCCAGATCGAGGTATAACTTCACCAGTTAATGTAACTTTTTCTCAGAAACTTCTGCTTTTCATCAATTGTATGTTGATTATAATAACCCAATAGTGTACAGAAGGCTTCCGTAATGTTAAAGTCCAAAGCCTTGTGCCTTTGGCTCCTATAGATTCACCACAATATGTGAACTTGTTCTTATGTTTATTCCTTTTCATTTTAATGGGATTTTGTTTGATTGGTTGAGGGTTTGGGGGAGGGGGGGTTATCTTAGTTTTGGCTTATTTTAGAAAGTCATAGGTTTAATTTTTACTCAGGTAAAGGCCCATAAAGATTCTTAGGCGTGGAAGAAAAGCTTGGGAAGCCTAATTCATGATGCAATTCAGAATGATTTAAACTCCATGCCCCTGAACTTAATCTGTAGGTATAACAACATGTGAAAGATGCACATATGAATAAAATAATAAACTTGGAAATAAGTATAGGTTTTGTGAACAACGGGGGAAAAAGAGATTGGATTATATATATATATCTACATTTGTCTTCAAGGTAATTTAACCTCAAGCTGTTAAATCTTTCATGGTGCTAATCAGGAAAATTCATATTGTAGAAGATTAAGTCCCAAAATGGGAATATTCCTCATTGTAACATGAAAAATAAGAAACTTGAGACCATAATCACCAGTGGATTAGAGTCCATCCTCAATCTGCTGTTATCCTCCACCATAACAGTGGAAGAGAATGGAGGACCAAGTGTTAATATTTCTGAAATAAAATGGAGGAGAGAGTGGAGGCATGCACAACAAGAAACAGCCTTGTTTACCCAGATAAGTCCAGCTTACCTCCACACTTTGTTGACAGTACTCCTCAAAAATTTCTTCCCTACCTCCCCAATGCCTGCAGTTTTGAAGGAGGATGCCTAATATGTAGCACTTAATTCTAGGGTGAGGAGCCATAATATACAGATGTTTCACAATTTGACTTAAAGCCAAATTTCCCTCAACCCCTCTCCTGATTAGGTGGCTCTTACCTCATGATGAGGCTCCAGAGGGAAGAAGGAAGTCCCATGAGCACACCTGCACTTTCTCCCACATTATTTCAACGAGAAAATCTACCCAGTAAGACAGTGGTTCTCTAAGTGTGAACCCCAAGACAGGCAATAAGTAGCAGCATCACCTGGAAACTTGCTTAAAATGCTAACTCATATTTCCAAGTCATTTCTGTACTTTTGTACTTAACTTTTTGTTTCCAGGGGGCTCTAGAAGTAGCCTTAGTTCTTCCATGCAACTGTTTATTTAATATTTTAAGAGAAAAACTGTGTCTTTACTCTTACTATGTTCTAGCACTAAGCATAATTACAATTATGTAGTTACTTTTGTAATAATGTTTAGTATGTATCTGTCATTCTAGAATATAGGCTACCTGAGAAAAAACTATACATTTTTTGATCATAGCTAAATTCCGAGTTCTTAGCACAAGATGTAGCACATTTATGTACTCAGTAAATATTTGTCAAATGAAAAAAAATACAGCTCCTAAGACTTACCTAAGACCCACTGAATCAAACTTTTCAGGGTAGAACACAGCAATCTGTGTCTTTACAAATATTTGAGTGGTTCTGTTGCTCTCTAAAGTTTGAGAACCACTTCAGAAAAACAAAGAACAACTGCCTTTCACCTCAGGCCAAATAGCTGACATCACTTGAGAAATTTGCCTTGCCTTCTTAACAATACTTCTCTCAGCTGGGCAATGTAAGGGTGTGCTTAGTATAGAGGAAATACTGCTTGGAATGCCAATATTTATGAAGGTTTTCTAGGAGTGGATCCCTTAGTCTAAAAGTCTAAACCCGCATTTCCACTGCACCCAGTGACAATTTGACATCAGTGCACCCTGACAAACTATTAAAGTGGTATCAGACTAAACATGTACATCCTTGTGCTTCTGGCTGCTAAGTTCTGCTCTCATTCCTACTTCAAAGAAGACTTTTAAGTATTAATGCTTTTTTTTTTATAATACATGTCATAGACATGTTGATAAAAAACGAAAATGTAGTTTAAAAGATTAAAACCACCTATCATGCCACTATCCAGGGAGAACTGTTATTTAGTTGTACTACCTTCCAGATTCTTCTGTACATTTATAATTTTTTTAATGGTATCAACTTGTACATACTGTTTGTAACTTTTTCACTTAATATCATGACTATCCTGCCGTGTCAGATAGATTTCTACATCTTTTCTATTGGCTACATGGCTCCATCATATGTGCCTCATTTTATTGAACTATTGAATTTTTAGGTTGTTTCCAATTTTTCACTAATAAACTGCTTTAAAGAAAATTGTGTTGCTAAATCTTCTGTGTGCTCTTAATATTTCCTTAAGATGAATACTTGGAAGTGCAATTGCTAAAGGAGAGTATGCCAAGTTTTAAAAGCTTTTGTTACTGCCACTTTGCCCCCTGGAAAATATCAGTTTACACTTTTATCAGCAGTATATGGAAGACTATTGTTTCTCTTTTGGAGGGTTTCCAGATGAATGTTCTACAGTTAAAAATAAAGGGTAAGAAGAAGATAAAAAGACCCTGCAAAATTAAAACCCAGATCAGTCTTAAATTATTCTGACATGACATTTACTGCTCTCTCTACCTTCTAGTATGTATTTTGTGGTGCTTTGGGCATGTTTGTAGTACTAGCTGGCCCCTTTTATTCAGTCTGCCTGAAGTACTATTACCTTTCTGACTTTTGCTAAAATGGTAGATAAACAAATAGGCTGGAGTCTATGATAATTTTGATGCAGCCTTACCTCTGGTTTTAGGTAGCACAGCCAAAATAGGGAAAGCAGAAACAGGAAGTTAGAACACTTAATCCTCCCACTTGGTTGCCTCGCTTTGTGTCTGTCAAACTTTTTGAGCCTGTATACTCATTCTAGAAGGAGAATAATACAAGTCTATCTTGTAGTTATCACCATATGATGGACAAATTGCCTGGCACCTAACATAACTTACTAGGATTTCCATTGTGTATGTTAAAATAGTAGCTAATTTCTTCCTTTGTGTAGTAAAT